GACACGCAAACAGAGACAGACACACAAATAGGCAGAGACAGACACGCAAACAGAGACAGAGATAAACAGAGGCAGATAAGCAGACAGAGACAGAGACAGATACGCAGACGGAGACAGAGACAGGCGAGAAAAAGATAGACAAACCCTTCGCTTGCAGCTGGGCCTCCAAGGAATTAAGATACTCCGTTGCAAACTCCTGGTATTCAGTGTTCCTGAAGAAGAAGAAAAGAGAAAACAAAGAAAATATACAAATAAACAAGGCAAATAAAAGCGTACACACAAACAAATCCACGAAAAAACAAACAAACAAATAAGTGGCTGTACACTGAAACCATGGGCTGTTTATCTCTCTTTTCCTCATGCTATTTAGCTGCATGTACACCCCAACCTAGCTAGACAGGAAGCAGTTTATACAGAAGCCCCTCTGCCTCGTGCATGCACGCAACAGGCACAGCAACTCTTTAGGTTGCGGTGTATGTACGCCTGAAGCTGTTCGCTTCCTACTGCTGTTGCAAAAGTCTGCTACACCGTGGGGGAGAACTGCGGCTTTCCTCATCTATGCCTTCCCAGGCGGTGTATATATATACATATATATATTCATATATATATATATACATATAGATAAATTATATTATGTATATTATATATATGTGTGAATATGTACACGTATGCATATACACAAACATGCATGTGCATATATACATATTCTAAATACATCTACGTCTATTTATTACGGTACGCATACACATAAATACAAACATACACACAAATACATTACAAATATAAATATATAATATTTGCGCAAATACACTCAAATACAAATATATATCTATACATATACTTGTGATTCATACACACACACACACACACACACACACACACACACACACACGTACATAAATTTATATATACATATACAGATATATACAGTGCATATATATACGTATATTTATTTACGTATATATATATATGCATATACATGTATATATAAGCATTGAGACAAATATATGTATATATATATATATATATGCATATATTTGTCTCTCTTGCGCGTTGGTGCTGACCAGGTTCCGACGAAGAGTTTGATGGGTCTGCCTGACCATTGGAGTGTACGTGCATCAGTTTCTCCTTCACTGTTGCTGTCTAGGAGGATGTCTTCTTCGATATGCGTCTCTCTAGCAAAGGCCTTGCTGCGCTCAGCAGCAGCAGCAGCACTACCCTTGGAGCCTTTGCCTGCAGAGAGCTGGGGGCTCAAGTAGCTGCTGCTGCTGCTGCTGCTGCTGCGGATAATATACGGGGCAGGCACTTCAACATTGCAGCAATTATCAAAGAAAGAATAAGGAGAACCACAAACAACAACCCCACAACCCTCAGCAGAAAAACAATCTACGCCTACACCCAAGCAAGGGGTAACGACTCGGCACTCCCAGCGGAGTGCTATATCTCCATCTACATCTTCTTCTTCCTCCTCTTCCTCGTGCTGCTTCTCCTCCTCTTCATCTTGCTGGTGCTGCTGCCGGTCGCTCTGACAAGTCGGTGTTGAGGGCCCCCCGGAGGCCCCTGTATTACTCACAACATTAAACAGAGGCATTACGGAGACAGCACCCGGGTCGTCTAGCTTACAGCACCTGTCTCCAACGCGGTGCAGCAGCGCTAACCTCTCCTGCTGCTGCTCCTGCTGCGCCTCCTCCTCCTCTTCATCCTGCTGCTGCTGCTGCTGCTGCTGTTGCTGCTGGTGCTGGGAGGGGACTCCGTCCAGAGGTGAGCCGGTGCAGGTCTCAGCTTCGGTGTCGCTGTGTAGTGGCTGCTGCTCTTCTTCTTCCTCTTGTATATCCTTGTTCACCATCTGCTGCTGCTGCTTCTTCTGCTGCTGCTGATTCTGCTGCTGCTGCTGCTGCTGCTCATCGCTTTGCTCCTGCAGGCGGAGGAGACGCAGGTGGAAGTCCTCCTTAGTAAGACAGCGATAAACCTCTGCATCTTCTTGTGCCTCTATCTGCTGCCAATCTAGGAGAGCCTCTCCCGTTTGAGCGTCTGCTGCATGCAGCATGAAGCCACCCGTGAATTCCTCTGCATCTTCAGTAGAAGAAGCAATCTGCCTTCTGCTGCTGCTACTGCTCCTGCTGCTGCTCCTGCTGCTGCTGTTCGTGCAGCAGACGCGAGAAGAAGAAGGGCACCCTCTCGGTGATTCAGCAAGAGCAGCACCCTGTAACGATGGAAGACAAATTACTGAAGGACAGCCGCCATTTGCTGCGGCGTTCTCCTCTCTGTGTGAGGTGTATTTCGACATGGTAGCTGCAGCAAGCCGCTCCGCTGTCGCTGCTCTCGGTGCATGCGCCCAGCAGCAGCAGCAGCAGCAACCGCTGCAGCAGAAGCAGCAGCAGCAGCAGCTTAGGTTTAAATGCCCCCCTTCACTTTGGAGAGGGGGTTAAACCGCTGGCAGCTGCGGCGAGAAGATATAGTTCAGGTGTATGCACAGCGAGTTCTTGGCTGGGCTTCAGGCGCCGTGTTCTCCTGATGCTCGACGCCTAAACCCTAAACCCTAAACCATAAACCCTAAACCCTAAACCCTAAAGAGAGAGGGGGAGAACAGGCCTCTCATTCTATGTGGCGAAGTCTCTACTACGCATGAAGCCCGGGCGGGGAGCAGCAGCAATAGCGCTGCTGCAGGAGATCTAAGAGCTTGTATTGAGTTTACGCTGTTGAGTTAAGTGCTGCTTCTGCTACTGCTGCTGCTGTTCTTGCTGCTCCAGCGCTTGTTCTGCTGCTGCAGCTGCTGCAGCTGCTGCTGCTGCTGCTGCTGCTGCTGGTCCTCCTGCGCCTCAAGCCGCGCTAGGCAGATGCGGACGGCTGGTTGGAGGCGTTTTGGATTTAAGCAGCAAGAAATGACCTTTTTTTCAATTAACAAAACTAAAAAAAAGAAGAAGAAAGCAAAGCCACCATCAATGAACGACGGTGAAGTCCAGAGGCGTCGGCTGTCTGTGGCAGCCCCTGCGACGAGTGCAGCCTTAATGGTCTTATAAGAAGGTATAGCGTCTCAATGATAAAAATAAACACCATGAAATAATTTAATTTCTTTAATTAATTCATTTATTTCAAGCCTGAAAAAACAGTTTTAAGCACGGGGAAGGATGATGCGGCTAGCGCCGCCACACAGCATCTCTTGCCTTGTCGCCGTTTGCACAGCCACTTGCTTCGATTTCACCTTCTTCTAAACCCCAAACCCTAAATCCTAAACCCTAAACCCTAATCCATATGGCGGCAGATGCTCCTTTGCCTCCCTAAACAGCTTATCCGCTCTAAACCCTAACCCCTGAACTGCACAAAGAGTAGAAAACCCCCTACTGCACAGCCACCGGCTGTTCTGCTGGCTCCCCACCATCGAGACAACTCGAGAAAGACACACCAAGCACCCTAAACCCTAAACCCTAAACCCTAAACTCCTAACCATAAACCCTCAAAGAGATCCTGTGGCCTTGATCTGAAACCCAGTAAACAAAGAGGAAACGAGTCAACAGCTGTGTACAGAAGCGGCTTCTAGCGACCCTCTTGCCTCCACTAGGGGGCCCTACTGAGATACATATAATATGTACATACACATACATATATATATATATATATATATATATTATATATATACAGGTACATACACATACATACAGGTA